ATGCCCAAAATTAGTTTCAACAACCTTCTACATTTCAGTTGTTTTTCTTGTTTGTTGGTCTTCTTCAACAGACCCAAAATCACAGTATTCGCCTGGCTAGGAAATTCTGGATCATACCAATCGAAAAAGTTACAAGGATTTCGAAATGAGGACTGCATTTCATAAAATCAAAGTTAAAAAAATTACATAATACGAACTTGGCAAATAAAAAGCAAAAAAATATGAAACAATACATACCCCATAGTGTCTACAACCGAGAAATCTACGTCCGGGATTGTCATTTGTCCATGAAATTTTCAGAATTGGAGGAGTCCCACATAAGCAAACAAGTCTCCTATTATAATTCATGAATTTAGCAAGAGCATTTAAAACAAAAAAGAGAGAAAATTTTTGAAATTTGAAAAGGAAGAAGGGATTAGGGAGAATAAATAGTTAGAGATAGAGAGAGAAAAATCTTTAAAATATGCCAAATATTAAAGAAAAATGGCTCTTTTACGTTTTTTACCGTTGTACCTTTATGATGTGGCAAAAAATCACTTCCTCACGCGCCTAGTAGAGTGTGTTGAAAAAGGTGCACGTGACAGAGGAATAAACAAGTTCGGGGGGGGGGGGGGGGGGGGGAGGTAATTAAAACGAAATTTAGTTTAGGTGTACACCGTATAAAAAGCTTCAAGTTCAGGGGGGTAGTGAGTACTTCTGCCTATTTTTTTAAAAATATATAATTATATATATATTTTTAAATTTTTTTCAAACACTCAAATGTATTTTTCATAAATGATGAGTTCTGTGATACCAAATATTTTTTAATGTTAAATTGATTTTATAAATAATATTTAATTTAGAATAAAGTATTGAAATTGATAATAACCTGTTGAAATGTTTAGTGAAAAGAAATGATAAAGAATTTTATTAGAATGAATTAATATATCCTTAATTTTTATTTATAAGAAATAATAAATTAAAAGTATATGAATGGGAGAATAACAAATGACAAAAAAATAAATGAAGAGGCAGTTATGAGTTCTATTTTACGAAGAGTATTTTGAGACTTTAAAAACACATGAGGTATGAAATAGTTAAGTATTTGGTCAAATAAAAAGTGTTTTTGCATTGAAATACAATCAAATAGTTAAGTATTTTTTTTAATCAAAATTTTCAGGCTTTTTATTGATTAGAAAAGCTGAAATAAACACAAAACATCACTAATTTGGGTCTACTACACAAATCTAATAACTTTATTAAATAGAGAAAGGGTCGCCCAACTCGGACCAAACCCTTTCCTAATATAAACAACAACAAAAAAAAAGCCTAATCATCTAAGACATCTTCCTTAAGATTAAGTTTCCTAATTCGCCGCTCCTTCCTCTTCATCTCTCCAAAAGACCTCCACATTTAAAAAATGTTTTTCCTATGATCGAACAAGACATTCCGTCTCCTTAATTATGTTGTGAATGATCAATGTTCTTAAGAGGAAGATCATAAGAACATCAATTACCCACAACATGAGGAGACTGAAGGCCCTGTTTGATCATAGAATAAACATTTTTAGAAGAAAAGGTTTCTTGGAGAGATGAAGAGGAAGCAACGGCGGATTAATAAACCTAATCTTATGGAAGATGTCTTAGATGGTTAGGTTTTCTTGTTTATATAGGGAAATGGTTTGGTCCGAGTTGGGCAGCCTTTTCTCTATTTAGTAAAGTAATTAGATTTGGGCGATAGGCCCAAATAAGTGATGTTTATGTTGGTTTCGGCATTTCTAATTAATAAAAAGCCTGGAAATTTCAATTTTTTTTAAAAAAAAAATTAAAATCATAATTTAGGTTAAAAATTATGACTCTTCATTAATTTTTTTAACTTAATAAGCGATTTTGAGTATTTACTAGACACATAGATAAGCTTGTTTAAAAAATAAAAAATAATAATTTATGAGCTAGTTTGATATGATGAGAAAACTACATAAAATTTGTCTTTATTGGGTTATTATTATAAAGTTAGTCTTTGTTGGGTTATTGTCATAAATTCGTCTTTATTGTATATTTATCATAAATGTGTGTATTTTTCTCCTTAAAAATAACATTTTAAGTAAAGAAGGATGAAGGAGAATTTTAATTATCCTCAAGTTTTGAAGGATATAGTTGATCTTAAGGTTAACGCTTCACAAAAAATAATAACACAAGCATACAAAGATTAAGTATTTTCTCTGTCCCAAATTTGGTGATATGTTTTATTTTTGAAATTCAAATTATGTGAACTTTAAAAGACATTTTAAAATATATATTTTCATTAAACTAATATAAAAAAATATTGTATAATGTAATATTTTTGTAGGGAAATTGCATAAGCACCTCCTAACCTATGCCCAAAATCTCAGAGACACACGTATACTATACTAAGGTCCTATTACCCCCTCCCCGAACTTATTTTATAAATAATTTTCTACCCCTTTTTGGCCTACCTGTCACTATCTTGTGGGCCCAACGCGTGTTGACAAATTTTTCAAGCTATCTGGTTGATAGTGCCACGTAGGTCGAAAAGGGGTAGAAAATTATTTATAAAATAAGTTCGGAGGGTAATAGGACCTTACTATAGTATAAGTGTGTCTTTGGAATTTCGGGCAAAGGTTGGGGGGATACTTATGCATTTTCCCTATTTTTGTATAGTATTTGAATATTTATAGTTTAAATGTAACTATTAAATTGATTTAATTCAATTTTGCTTCAAAAATTAGTCAAATTAACTCTCGAAAAGCGAAATATGACAATTAATTTAGAAGGAGTAATATTTTGGTTGAGTCATCAGCTGTGGTTTAATCACAATTAGATCAAGTTTTTATAAACTATTGAGAAAATGGTTAAATCCCCCCCCCCCCTCCCCCAACCTATAGTCGGATTCTCAACTACACACTCATACTTTACAAGAGTTCTATTACACCCCTGGACTATTTTAAAACGGAGTTATTTGCTCCCTAAATGCCGATGTGGCAAAGAAGGTGTAGTTCACTCTCTCAAAGAGAGTGAGAGATAGAAAGATAGTTAAAATATTTAATTTATTTCATATTAATATTCTTTTTTTTTAAAAAAAATGTTTCCTTTTATTTATTTTTTACCTTCTTTATCTTTTCCCTTCAATCTTCATCATCAGATCCATAATAGACATCGGCGGTGGCTCACCTCGACCACCAAGTCACCGCTCTCATCAAGTTTTCATCACTAAGTCAATTCTCATCACCAAATCACATACTTTTCATTTTATCTCCACTTTTCATCACTTTGAAAATTTGTTGGTAGCGCAAAATCAAAATTGAAAGTTACAAGAATCTAACTTTAGACTAGTCATTAATGGAGGAGTTCACTAAGTAATAGATTCAATTAATGGAGAAGAATTCATCATTGGGTAACTGACCCTTTAATGAAGAAGACCCATTTATTAAAATTGTTGTAAACATCAATCGAATTTCTCATATCAACATTGTTAAATCTAAACCAATACTAGTCCCTCGGCAAGTTTGTTACCTTTATCCCGGCAAGCAAGTATCGTTTACTTGTGATTCTTTGAAGAATCGATCTTTGAGAAATATTATAATAGCGGAAGAAGAAGCAATATTTAGTAATAGAGTTTTTCGTTTGTCTCTAGCTTTAGAAAACGAGATTTCCTGGTGTGTGGTGAAGGTCAACGTATCTATAGTCATGGCGTCCTCTCGTCAAATCTGCCGAAGGTTCAAAGAAAAAGAAATGGAGGAATGGAAAATAAAGAGAAAAGGAGAAGATGAAAATATAAAATAAAAAAGTAAAATATAAAAGAACAATTAATTTTTTTTATATGAAAAAAGGGTAATATTACGTGGCAGCGCGTGTTGAATACCACCTAATACAAATTTGGGCTTGAGTTTGTAGGGGGGAGGGGGTAGATATTTCACTTTTAAAAGGTTCAAGGGGGGTGATAGGACCCCCGTGAAGAATAAGTGTGTAGTTGGGAATTTGGTAATAGTTTGGGGGGGTGGGGGGGGGGGGGGGGGGGCTGGCTTTTGGCCATTTAGAAAGCCTTAAACAAAGACTTAATACCTCCAAACTAAACATTGTTTTAAAAAATGAAAAAAATTATCTATATACACATCCTTATTTACCATATTTTCTATTATTCCTTACTATTTCAAAATATTACAAAAATTCCTCTTTTTCATCCAAAACCAAACTCAATCGAATACATTACCGATCAACTCCCAAAGCCACGCTCCCCTCTTCCTATTTTCACTCCTTCAATCTCTCCCTATTTTCAATCTTATCAATTTCTTCCTTCATTACAATTTGAACTTCAAAATTTTTCTCTCTCCAGTCAATCAAATTCAACTTCATGAATATGTAGTTTTTCGTCTTCTCCAACTTATGGTTCATCCTTGTTTTCTTTTTTTTCATCATCAAAGTCCTGCTTTATATGGAAGATGCTCCTTCTTTTCGACTTCGTGAAAAAATGCACAAAAAGGGAGAAAAAGGCCAAGTTGTTGGTGGCTCTTATAAGGACTTTGGGCCGAGATTCATGGGTGGGTCATTGTTAAAAGTGAAAAAAAGTTATGGGAGTTGATATTGAGCAAAGGAGAAAGTGTAGAAGGATTTCTTCACAATTTTTTTTATTTCAGCACATCAGATTGTTGATTTTTTTTGTTGATATTTTGTTGTTCAACATTTTTTTATACAGAAAAAAAGGGGAGTAGATCATATTGTTAAACACGCTTCTCTATCCAAGGTTCAAATTTTTAATGTAGTTGATTTTGATTTATAAATTTATGTATAATGCCTTCGTTTCAACTTTATGATACATTAAATTAGCTTTTGTTAGTGTTATCACTGATCTGATACATCATTGCTACAATAGCTTTCGTTATTATGCAATGTATCATGTTCATATTTACAGTTTTGATACATGACCCTAATGTTGTTGAATCTTCGATTAGTATTTATCATGTTTAATATAAATGAACTTAATACGTAAACATTACCGAGGTTTTTCAGAATTGAGGATAGATGAAACCAGATGATTTGTGGCCTTCTTGTTGTTAGCATTCATCGATATGTAATTCCGTCTTATTCTACTTCATTTTGTCTAATGTAATTGTGTGTCAAAACAGTATTTAATAGTCAGTGTTCAGTTTTAATTTCTACATTGGATAATAGGCAAATGCCTCTTGACAATATTGCATCTATATTAATAGTATATAATGTTGATAATAAAGTTTCATGTCTATTCTCCCATAGTGTCTAGTTTTAGTTTTTAGTTAATTCATAATTGTTTGTTCAAGTTTTTAAGATATCATAATCTCTAAAATTATGTATCTTCTAAAAGAAATTACAAAACAACCTCTCTCAGATACATTTCTGTCACTCCCCGAGCCTACACCCTGGGCGCGATCGGACACTCGAGAACTATTGTTGGCCCCAAGCGAACCCTTGGCCTAGCTTAACTCTTAGCGGAAGACTTACTCATAAATAAGATGAATTTAAAAGTAAAGCTTTAACTCAAAATAACTAACTCAGAATATTTAAAGAAATATTCACTGGTCAAAGCGACAACTCAAGTCTAGAACGTAACAACTGAAATGAACAAGACTCATGAACTAATACTATCCAACTATCTATGAAGCATGTACTAACTGAGATGGACGTTGGGACAAGACCCACGACATCCTAATAACCAAATGAAATGACTGAAGTAAACAAGGGATCCTCCGGAAGCAAGAAGGCTCGCCAACAACTTTGAAGCTTAGCTAGATCAACGAAGCGCTGGATGCTGAACCTAGTTACCTGTATCTGCATCATAAAATGATTCAGACCAAATGGCCTCAGTACCTTGAATGTATGAGCATGTGAGGGGAATTCTAAAACTTAGCATAAGCTTGAACTGGAACTGAAGAAAAACTTACCTCATCTCAACTCAACTCATTTCAATATAAAGTAGTAATAAAAGTGCATTATAAAGAAAAACTTTTAAATCAGTAGACAATAACTCAATATATTAGAAAATACAATGTAACTCAGTTTGCATATAAAAATATAAGTAACTCTGTGGGAGATTCTCTAACCGACAAGCATCACTATGAGTTATGTGATGTTACAACGTCTAGCCCACGCTGCCAGAACTATCCAATACTTTGTCAGGGTATAGGACCTACTACTAAGTGGATCCACTAGTCTATGCTAAAAACATTAAGAAATCGTCTAAAAAGTATGACCCCTTCTACCCATGTTGGTTACATGGTTTATGGAAACTTTGAGTTATCTGAACTTGTCCCCATATCGGTGCTCAATACTACTCTCAAAATGTAGCTAGTTCATGTGTGTAAAAACATAACTTTTTCTGTGATTTGAGATTATTACTCAAAAATCTTTTTGTTAAAAGAGATGGTACTAAAACTGCTCATGAAAACTCTTGTGGAAATCGGTGTTTCCTCTCATCTTAAATGTGAAAACATTTATTCTTGTGATTACTTAGTTCCCATATATCATTTTAAAGAAAATGAACTTAACTCTACTATTTCTCAAACTCAAGTGCTCAAGTCTTAAAACAAGTTTAAAATGATTGTAAAAGACTTAATTAAAATGACTTGGATGAACTCTCAAGACTTGACTCCTTAGCTCTACCTTGAATTTCAATTATGAATTCAAGGTTATGATTCATGTTATGAATATGTTTAAAAGTAGTTTAGAGTGTTTAGAATCAATAGGGAGTAAAGGTAGCCTATGAAAGAACTTAGATAGACTAAACGACGGAAAAAAAGGTGGGGGCAGACGACCCTGGCGCACTAAGTGGCACAGGGTACCAGCCCTTGAACCACAAAGTGGTGGTTGGGGCCCACTGGCTGGTGCAGGGCGCCAGGCCCCAACCTACAGACACTCTTCTCTGGCGCAATGTTGGGGCGGCGCGCCACACCCTGCCCAGATTCATCCAACGATTTTTCTTACTCATTTTCTATTGAAAAGATAATCGATCCATTTCTTGTAGGTAAAATCAACCCAAACTCTCTGAGGAAATTCAGAGAAACAGCAGAGAAGTGTCTGCAAGAGAATGACACTGATAGGCCTAATATGATGGATGTGTTGTGGGACTTGAATTACGCTCGACAACTTCAACACCTTGCAATTCCCCAACAATCTCATGAGGATACCAGCTCCGATCTATCAATCACTTACCTTCTATAAATGTAAGCACAAGTTGTGTCACTGTCACTAATAGTGAGGTTTTTTCAGAATTGAGGATCGATGAGACCGGCCAGATGATTTGTGGCCTCGTTGTTGTTAGCATTCATCGATAGGTAATTCCGTCTTATTCTACTTCATTCTGTCTAATGTAATTGTGTATCAAAACAGTGTTTAATAGTCAGTGTTCAGTTTTAATTTCTGCATTGGATAATAGGCAAATGCCTCTTGACAATGCATCTGTATTAATAGTATATAATGTAGATAATGAAGTCTCATGTCTATTCTCCCATAGTGTCTAGTTTTAGTTTTTAGTTAATTCATAATTGTTTGTTCAAATTTTTAACATGTCATAATCTCTAAAATTCTCTATTATCTAAATTATTTTTTTACAAAAATCCCTCTCGGATACATCTTTATCTCCTCTCATATATATCCTTATCCCCTTTCAAGCTTATCCATCCACTCTCAGATACATCCCTCTCATTAAGTAATGTATCATTTGCAATACATCGAACAACCAAAGAATGTATCCGAGAGTTATGCGAAATCCAAGATTTTTATAATTAGGAAAACTTATTGGATAGGATATAATTAGTCGTATGAATTTCGGTACTTTATACAAAAACAAATGCTTTGTTTGTTTTCGCCCTTGAGTCTGTCATGGTACTTTTATTGTTAATTTTAAATTATTACCCAAAAGTTCCATTGAAATATCCGTCTATTTATTTATTATCAAACTCTACTTATATTTTTAAAAATATATAATTATATACATGTTTTTAAATTTTTTTCAAACACTTAAATTTAATTTTCCTAAATGATGAGTTATGTGATACCAAATATTTTTTTAATGTTAAATTGATTTTATAAATAATATTTAATTTAGAATAAAGTATTGAAATTGATAATAACATGTCGAAATGTTTAGTGAAAAGAAATGATAAACAATTTTATTAAAATGAATTAATATATCCTTAATTTATTTATAAGAAATAATAAATTAAAAGTATATGTATGGGAGAATAACAAATGACAAAAATAGAATGAAAAGGCAGTTATGAGTTCTATTTTAGGAAGAGTATTTTGAGACTTTAAAAACATATGAGGGATTAAATAGTTAGGTATTTGGTCAAATAAAAAGTGTTTATACATTGAAACACTATCAAATAGTTAAGTACTATTTTTTTAATCGAAATATTTAGGCTTACTAATTAGGAAAGCTGAAATAAACACAAAGCATCATTCATTTGGGTCTACTGCCCAAATCTAATAATTTTACTAAATAGAGAAAGGGCCGCCCAATTCCTACCAAACCCTTTCCCAATATAAACAAAAAAAAAAACAAGAAAACTTAACCATCTATGACATTTTCCTTAAGACTAGGTTTCCTAATCCACCGTTGCTTCCTCATCTCTCCAAGAAACTTCCACGTCGAACAAGACATTTCGTCTTCGCATGATGTGGCTAATCAGTGTTCTTAAAAGGAAGATCATAAGAACATTGATTACCCACAACATGAGGAGACTGAAGGCTCTGTTCGATCATAAGATAAACATTTTTCATATGTGGAGGTTTCTCGAAGAGATGAAGAGGAAGCCACGGCGGATCAGTAAACCTAATCTTATGGAAGATGTCTTAAATGGTTAGGTTTTCTTGTTTATATAGGGAAAGAGTTTGGTTCGAATTGGGCAACCTTTTCTGTATTTAGTAAAGTTGTTAGATTTGGGCGGTAGGCCCAAATGAGTGATGTTTTGTATTTATTTCAACTTTAAGCTTGAAAATTTTTATTTTAAGAAAAAAACATAAGTTGGGTGAAAAATTATAACTCTTCATGATTTTTTTTAAAACTTTATAAGCACTTTTGAGCATTTACTAGACACATAGATAAGTTTTTTTATATATATAAAAATAAAAAAACTTATGAGCTAGTCTGATATGATGGAGAAAAAACTCCATCAAATTCGTCTTTATTGAGTTATTATCATAAAATTTGTGTTATTGTCATAAATTCGTCTATATTGTATTATTATCATAAAATGTGTGTATTTTTCTCCTTAAACACAACATTTTAAGTAAAGAAGGATGGAGGAGAATTTTAATTATCCTCAAGTTTCGAAGGCAATAATTGATCTTAAGGTTATCGCTTCACAAAAAAAAAAAATCAATCATAAAAAGATTAAGTATTTTCTCCGTCCCAAATTAGGTGTTATGTTTTATTTTTTAGATTCAAATTATGTGAACTTTAAAAGACATTTTAAAATATATATTTTCATTAAACTGATATGAAAAAATTACATCTTGTAATACTTTTTGTATAGTTTTGAATTTAAATAGTTTAAGTGTAACTATTAAATTGATTTAATTTAATTTAGCTTAAAAATTAGTCAAATTAACTTTCGAAAAACAAAATATGACAATTAATTTTGAAGGACTAATATTTTGATTAAGTTATCAGTTGTGGTTTAATCACAATTAGATCAAGTTTCTATAAACTATTTATTTAAAAGAATAAAGAACACAATTTAGTATTAGTGGAGAAAGCCTTAAACAAAGACTTAATACCTCCAAACTAAACATTGTTTAAAAAAAAATTGAGACCTTATGTAGCTTGTGATATTATTAGTCCATTAAAATTTTTACGTTCGTCTTTGGTTCTAAAATTATGTCTTTTAACTCAAGCTAAGGTCTCTATATATATATATATATATGCGTTATTTGGCCATAAAGTTTAGATATTTTATACTTGTATTTAGAAATTCTTCATTTATAATAAAAAAAATAAAAAAATTTAAAGCTTGAGTACTTGAGTTAGATATGAAGTTGCGTTTAGTTAAAAAAAAATAAAAAAATGTCAAGGGTATTTGAAATAATGTTAGTACTCAAATGCATTTAATTACAATTTCAAAAATGAAAAATAAGTTGGAAAATATATTATACATTATTTCTAAATTTGAAATACAATTCCTTGGATTTGATTTATATAACTTCTAAATAAATAAAAAGTTTACTTTTAAAAAGTGAATAATTTTTATCGGGGCACTTAACGTAAACACAAATAGGGGTGTACAAAAACATAACTAACCAATAAATTGAACCGAAAAACTATTATTGGTTTATTGTTATTGATTTAGGGGAACTTTCACATATAGCCACTCAAAAATAGCTTAATTACGCTCCATAGCTATAGTTTGCTAATTACAATTCGTAACTACATGTTATAGGAAGGAGAGTGGCGAGCGAGATTGGTAGAGGGGGAGGAGAGAGGCGAGAGAGGGTAGAGAGTGGGAAATAGATGAATTATATATGTATATTGGTTCGATAATTGTATATATGTAACTGGTATACATATGTAGTTGTATATCTGGCGAGCGAGATTGGGAGGGGGAGGAGAGAGGGCAATATTTTTTATAATTCGCATCTCATTTTTATAATTCGCGGATACGTTTGTATGATTCGTGTGTTTTTGTGTAATTGAGTAATATAAAGTTTGGAATTATACAAATATGATAAAACACAAAATTATGAATTGATACAAACATAAACATATGAACTTTAAACATTTATACAAATTATATTATACAAATTACATTATATAAATTATATTATACAAAATTCAAAAACTACACATTTATACAAACTTTAAAAAGTTATACACAAAAAGATTGAATGTATATGGTGATAAAACTGAAAAATCAAAGGAAATCATCGCCATATACAAATACAAACCGTTGTATACAAATACAAATCAAACGAAGAATTGTTAGTTGAGAATTATACAAATGTGGTGAAGTATACAAACATAGATAATTATACAAACTCAAAGTCAGCCCACGTATGACGTAACTAATGGTTAATGTTAGTCGTGAGTGGTAATTATAGCAAACTATAACTATGATGACTAATTAAGTTGTATAAGTATAAGTGTATAACATCTCGCACTTCAAAAGAACTAACTAGAGGTCTGTACAAGTTAAACTTCAGTCTGTAGTTTTGGGTCAACTTCAAACGACCATATTTTTTAGCACAGAAAGAATTAGAGAGCCCTTGATCTATTAAATTGAAGGTCTCTGAGTCCTCTTTCCACAAGTTTGCTAAATTCCAAGATCGGAGAAAAAAGTTATGCCTGTTTGAGTGAAGCCTCTTTAGTTAAGAATTTTCATCCGTTTGAGAAAAGGGTATTTTGGTCTTTTACTTATCCCACACGACTTGACCACGTTTTCCTCACCCAAGTTAAGGGTCTAATCAAATACTAAGTTATTTTTCACATCCCTAAACACTTAAAATTTGAGGGTGAAGTTTCAAGAAGAGGAAAAAAGGGTTTTCAAGCGGTCACTCAAGGGTTGAGGAATTTTGCCAAGAACAATCATTCTTTCCAGGTATGTGAGGTTTTCCATAGTGATGGATTTGTTCGTCCTCACGCCAAATATGTAATTCTTTCATTAATTCATCCGTGAAATCATTTATGTAAAGATTCTTGAAGAGTTCTTGAGTTTTACCCTTATTCTTTCACAATGGAGGTTTTGAGTTCTTGAGGTGAGGGTCTTGCGAATGAATGGAGTTCTTGATAGAAATTGAGTGCAATTTCGAAAATTTTGAGTTGGGTTTGTGAATCAAAGATATTTGGAAAGAAACCAATCGATTCTAGATGAGTTAGGACCAGAAATTGAGCAAGAAAATTCATCGGATTTCTAGGTTCGGGGTGGGGCAATGCGCCACCAAGGCGCCAGATGTCACGACCCAACCCACCGGGCCACCTAAGTAGGAAAATGTAACACCCCGTATTCAAAATAGACAAAAATGCAGATTTTGAGAAGTTGCAGGTGCAACTTACGGTCACCATCCACGGACCGTAGGTCAGACCACGGCCCGTGCTGGTGGTCCGTGGTTCACCACCGCAACCCCTCCCAGCCAGCTCAGAAAATTTTTTGGCTAAGTCTCGACCCACGGACAGACCCACGGTCCGTAGATCAGACCACGGTCCGTGGTCTGTGTCCGTGGATCAATACCTCATTTACCCAGCCTCTGACATGAACTACGGTTGACCAGCACGGACCGTCGTTCGATCCACGGTCCGTAGGTCTGACCGTAGATCGAAGGATAGCAGCCAGTTAGCTGAAAATTCTGATGGGTCAACTTCAGATGGTCATAACTTTTAGTACAAAATGAATTATGTGTCCCATGACCTATGGTTAGATAAATAATTGAATTATCTTTCCAACGCCACCAAGTTTGCTAAATTCCGACCTCCGAGTAAA